AATGAGCTAAAAAGCATTATCCCCCATTTGAATATATTTTATGTTAGTTTTCTACATTTGCTGTTACCTAAAAAACAGCTTTAGGAGTAACAAATTTGAAAGTGTGTTAATTTTGAAGATGCGAAACATGAGATGTGATAAAAAGGAGATAAATGAATAAAGTGATAAAATCCCTTAAGCATTATTGGGACAGGGGATGTTTCCCCCAACCCTTCAGTAATTTGGAAATATTTCTTAAAGCTGGGCTGTGGATTTTTCATAATTTTCCATTAACATGGACAAACACTATTCCCAAAAAATGTGTTTTTTCTTCCTTTAAAACCTAATAAAGAAACGTGTTTAACAGTATTTCTTTTCATAGTGTCCATCTTTAAAACTGCAGGTGTTTTGAAAGTTCCAACTTTGAAAAGGCCCCTTTATTCTGCTACAAAGGACTTCAAGAAGACACATTTTCTCCAATAATTTTATTCATAATTTTAATATAAACAGTTAATTGTTGAATAATTTACACACAGCAAGATTTTCTTACTTTCATATCATTGCAACATTTTCTTTACATGTCACTACTTGGCTCTCCTTTTGAAAACGTATAGAAAAAATAAATTGTCAAGCGTTCTTTTAGTCATGGCACGTTTTGTTGTTGTTTTGATCCTGTACAATGAGCTTTTATCTCTGCATTTGTGAGAGGAACTCCCATCACGTTTGCTGTCCGTGGTACAGATAGATCATGGCACATCTGGGTCCAGTGTGAGGTGAATGGGGGGGGATATAAAGCGATCCGTGTGAGGTTTTTGCAGGTTTGGGAGGGGGGGGTTCGGACTGTACACGCACACATTTACACCCGCTTTCTGCATTCACAACGTCTCCACATACTGTATACACAATATGTTCCAAAAATGAATACAGGTACAATAAAAATTACATTAACAAAGAGGTAACCTGCAGGACTATGCACAGAAATCTGGAGAAACCACCTACGTGCACCAAGAGAAGACACTTAAAGACAGAAAGGAGGAACAATCAGACAATGGTTTCAACAAAGCAAGCACAGGAGGTGACTGAACTGGAGTAGACCACTAGCTCTTTTATTTCTACGCATTTAACTTCAATCAATAAGGATTCATGAAACATACGTTAAATATGCCACTTAGTAAGTTATGAAATGACTCAGAGCAGGAGGTGTTTCATAAAGTTAACCTGTTGAAAGGAACAATTCTAACAGTTTTATTTCTAGGAGAAATTTTGCTGAGATAAATCATATGATCCGGCCATTTTGGGGGGACAAGTAGTTTAAACAAATTCAAAAACTTAAGTAGGTAAAGCTGAAAATTTTAAAATTAATCAACCATTATTCTGAGATTAACAAATCTGCAGAACATCAAAATTTTCTTTGTTAAAGGCTCAATCTGCCCTTTTCTACCAAATATTGAGATATCAGTTTGTTTGTAATCTCAAGCTTTACCACTAGATGGCACACTGCTCCTTTTACCAAATGACTTTTGCTCTTGAATAAACAGGGAAGTTTAAAGTGAGAAAAAAGCCTTTTATGATCAGAAAAACATGTCTCTCTATTAGAATAAGAAAATAAGTCATATTAATGTGAGCAAACAGTTTCATCTTCTAGCAGAAATACCTCCAGCTCTAGTCTGAATTTCAGGCAAGTGTATTCTTCATCACAGATTTAATTTTTCATTTTGGATCTTATTGCTTAGAATTACTCTTTAAAAACACATGGGGTGGTCTGGTCCAGCTTTCCCCCTAATGTGTACATAAAAAGGAAGAAAAAAAAAAAGTTTCCACCTGATTTTTATTAAAAAATAAAAAGACATTTATGAGAAAAGGCTTTCAGTCGACATGCTGCTTGGACTGAGTGTGATGGGGTGGGGGCTGACATTCAGAAAACTAGCATGAGATTATGGGATGCGACAAATTGGAGGCCACATGCTGTTTTGTTATGTTGCTTCAGACAGGAGAGCTCCCCCCCCCCCCCACTTTACCAAATACATGAACAGACTACGACATGTTTCTGTGGTGGGCTGTGTTATAAAAAACAGACAATAAAAAGAGAAATAATCAATTAATTTAAACTTAGAAAAAGATATATACACACATTGATAACGTTAAATTCATCATGTACAAGAAGTAGGAAAACTACAGTCAGAAAAAAAACTATTGATTTTTGTCCTCCCCTACTTTGGCTAAAAAAATAGAAATCAACATCTCTAAAGTGTAATACTTTATCTGCTGAAAACAAAGCAAACCATCTGCTTTGTTTTCACCCAATAAGAGTTCAGCAAACCTTCCCTAACACCAAGTGCTTCTCTTTTATTTCCTTTTTCCTGGACACACAACATCAGCAGCTATTTACAGTTTGAGGAGCTTATTATTTATTGTACAGATTTCCAAATAAACACCTTTATTTTTTTTTTGTAAGGTTTTGGTGTGAGTGGGTGGGGGGGCCCTGTTGTAACAGACTGATCAGAAGCAAAAGCCATCAACATCAAACCATGAATCTGGAGTTCATCAACTTTTCTTTCAAATTACAGTATTAATTCTGCATTTAAAGGAAAAAGAAACAGAATGTGTAAAAAACAAAAAAATAAAATAAAGTGAAAGCTTTTATTTTAAGTTTGGTGTAAAATCTGCGATTTGTAGAGAAATGCCAGTTTCTGAGTCAGGTGTGCCTTTAGTCTTAAGAAGGCACGTTGAGACCTGCAATGCCTCCAAGAAACCACTAGAGGGCAGTCTGAGCCACTTCACCACAGAGCCAGAGATGTGGATTCCTGATTATCTCTAATTAGGAACAACTGGGATAGATGAAAAGGTAGGTAGTTCTTCTTTTCCCTCCTCCACCTCTTTATGCTCTTGAGGCAAAGCAAGGAGCCGCCTCCCTGAGACCAAAAATTTACAATCAAGATTTTAAAATCTGTTAAAAGTTTTTGTTTATGGCACACAGGATTGTCCCAGTTGGCTTTTTTTTCTCTGCAGCAGGAAAATAAAAGGTTCTCTCTAATCGCCCCCACTTCTGTGTCATAATCCGTCACAACAGACCCACTGGATCAATGGTGCTGGCAGGGAAAATAAAAGGTCATCTCTTGTATTCACAGTTGGGGTGGGGAAAGAAAAAAAAAAAAAAACATACACAGACGACAAAATCAGAGCCAATACAACAGGAGGATAAATGCAAAGAAAGGTCGTTTACAAAACATAAGGCCTACAGCTGAGCTAGGTTAGCTTTGGCTGCAAACAGGCGATAAGAGGGGGATCTGCTGTGAAATCAGTAGATATGAACCGAGGAGCAGTCTGGAGGTCGTCTGCTTCCTCCTGTAGTGGAAGTGGGGAAAAGAAAAGGAGCTGCTCGTTAAGCTCCATAGTTTGTGTTTAATTCGAAGCAAGGCTGCCTCCCCCAGACACACAAGAAGAGATACGGATACATAAAAAGAGGCAGGAGAGAGTTAACCGTATAAAACCATCATATGTGTGTAAAACGTAGCATAAAAAGATTTTCTTTGTAGTGATACTAAGCAGGCTGTGGGGATGATCGAGGCTCTTTGAACAGCTTCCTCCTTCCTGCACTGAGGTAGACTCCGGCCAAACAAACAGACCAAGACAACTACATACAAACAAACTATTAACAGAGCTGTTCACCGCCAGCCTTCCCACCAGGACAACAATTAACCATCTATTTCCTAAAACCTCATTAATGCTCAATCACACGGTCAAATAGTTTCATTAAAAAAAGAATAGTACTCTGTTGTTTTTATGCAGAGGGAACCAGAGATGTGTCTGAGCTACAAATAGGGCTCACTGTGATGTGCCAGTACTAGAAACATTAAAGATGTTTACTAGAATCTTATTAAAAACCTTGTTTTCACTCAAAAAGGCAGAAATCTAAAATGGTTCCAATTTGTTTCTTTAATTTACATAAACAGTCTTCAGATAAATTGATAGAAGGCTCCCCCACTGAATGATTTGGAGATTTACTGACAGCCATATTGTTGGACCTTAAATAATTCGATAAAATGAACGTAACAAAAACATTACCTTTATGATTTTTCTTGCTATTCAATACAGTAACTGTTTAAAAATAAAAAATAAATCTAAGAGCTTGCTTTTAAGAATCACAGTATTACCTTGCACCTTGGAGTTGTAGGTCTCCATGGCAACCAATGGGTGCTTTCTGCATGCTAAGTGGTTGCCAAGGAGTCTAAGAAATACCTTTTCTGTCTGGCCGCTACAGACAAAACTAAGTGGAGTTTACTAAACTCTTTTGCAACTTTAAGTGGATCTTTGGTGAAATTGGACTAAAATTTTACTGGAAAAAACACAAAATCCATCCAGTTGATGTTTTCTATGGCAGGGGTTCCCAGACTTTCAGCCTCTGACCCACAAAGTGGTACCAGAGTCGACTCATGACCCAAATATTGAGTTGAGAATACAAACCTTTACTCAAAATCAATTAAATACAGTTGCAAAATATTACAATCGGCTTCAACAATCACAGTATTTGGTTTATTCCATCTTTAGAGATGCTTTTCTAACCTTAATCACTTTAACATTAGTGTTTATCGTTTAGTTTAATTTCTGTTGTGGATCTCTCGACCCGTTAATAGCTGATCAACGACCCCATTTTTGAGAATTAGTCCTCTACAGCACTTCATAAAGTGGACCTATGATGCTGTGGGCCAAACTATTTTTCAAACACTAAAAAAGGGCAATCATTAGCAGGTTGAGTTTCATGTCTTTTAAAGGCGGTATCTTGGATACTAGTGTTAGTTTTTATATTCTCTTATAAATAAATAAATTTACTCTTAATAAAATTAGTGTTTTGTCCAAATCATGCAATGGGAGATCAATCTATTCAAATACAGAGATGATATGAAGGTTTTATTACACATCTTTAGCTCTTGTGACCACATCAGTAAATGCTAATAACTACTGACTCTGAACTACCTGAAGCGACTCAATCATAACATATTAGAAACCTTTTGCTTTTTTTGCAAATGAAAAACTAACAAAATAAAAACTGACAGGCCATTAGGAGCATATTTTCTGCATGTTGCATCAGCTTAGAAGATGAATTTGTTGGGAAATAATTAAAAAGGCACTGGTTCAGATATGGAGGCAGCTTCTCTGGCCACCCTTTAAATTAACGCTGCTCAGCAAAAAAGTGTCTGTGTCCTCAAAGAGAAATGCTGCCATTTGGGAGAAGAGCGTTTCCAGTTATGCAGTGAAGGAAAATCTTTTTGCCGATTTGTTGGCACTGCTGTTAGAAATGATTTATACTCCAAATTTATGGGGTGAAAATCACGAAAAGACAAGATGCTGTAAAGTGTTATCTTCTGCAAACCCAAGCAGCCGTTGATTAATGCAGCAAAACACTCTGATGGTGTCGGCCAAACAGCATTCTTTGGGGATGTGGAGATTTGACTGAATCCTGGAATGTGTGTCCTGAGCGGAAAAGCTGCTGCACGCCGTGCCCCGACTGTGAAGCTCCATGTGATGGCAGGGAGAATAAGAGAATTAACAATCGACTCATGATCCCGCCCCACCCGGAGTGCAGGACTGCCGGCTGTGAATACATTTGGAACTTTCCGCATCTCTCTCCAGCCCTCAGTCATTAAACGTGGAAATTTCCACCAGACTTATTTGGAGAGGAGAGTTCAGTGGCCGACAGAAAGCCTTGGAAGCCGCGTCGGAGGGTTCAGGAGCAGTGAGGTGTGGGTGATTTATCAATGCTTGGGTTTAATGTAGTAAATCTCCCCAATTGAAATTCCTAATATCATCCACCTCACCTGCCGTAAAATCCAGGACTAATACCGACAACTGAGAAGCACCCGAACAAGCAAAACCACTCAAAGCTGCACAATTTCAAGACATTTTTGCAACAGAATTTAGTTTTTTTTTGTTTTCTCCTCAAAGAAACCAAATGGATAAAAAGGCAAACTGTGATTGTGACCAGAGAAAGACGGCAAACACATTTCTGGAGCACTTTGACCCTATAAAGGCCTGGCTTCCCCTCTTTGTAAAGCTTTTAGGTCATTTATCCCGGTTTTTTTTTTTGCTGCAGTAGTAAAGTTTCCTCCATATGTTGAAAATCAAAGACAAAAGTAAAAATTAAAAAATAAAAAGATCATGGGCTGGATGCCGTAGACACAGAGAGCACTGACGGTAGATTAGTGTAACTTCTGGGGCTAAAAAACATTTTAAAAAAAAAGAGAAATACACAATAAAACACGTAAGTAAAGCCTCTGATGAAGTACACAAATATCAACTACAGTATTTACAAAAGTAACCCATCAATGTTATACAGTATACTATATATAAAATAATGGCTGAAAAATGTAATTATTCTATATATACTATATATATATTATATATTTATATATTTCTATACCCACTATAATATATCAAAGCAGCAGCTATTGGTCAGTCTGATGAACTCTTTTGTCCAAATTTGAACTGTTTAAATATCCTTCAGCCACAAAGTGAGGACACAGAAACAAACAGAAGGGAAATAAGGACACAGCCAATAAATTAAAACTATTCACCAAACACCTGATAAATCTGTGGGTAGTTTGGAATTTTGCAGAACCAAAAACAAAACAAAGCGAAAAGAAAAGAAAATGTTCCTCCAGGAAATGATGTTTGTTCTAAGATCAATTCTTCGCGAGTAAGTCATCCCACTGATTAAGTCTTTGTAGCTAAAACGAGGAATTTACTTAGACATGATTCTGTAGTCTATAGGCCACATATTTTTTTTTTAAAGGCCACCATCAGAGTAAAAACGTTTCATTTGGAGAGACAAAAAAAAAGGTAAAAGCACAGAAGTGTGGAAAATGCAGTTGAGCTGGGAGCGAGAGGAGAGGCTTTTATGGGGGTGAGAGGGAAGGTTGAGCAGCCTTCTTGGTTGTCTAAGGTTTGTTGTGTTCACAGTTTTAATTTTTTTTTTAATGTTTGTTGTTGTTTCCGTCACATGGAGTCCTGGAAACATGGTGTTGACCCATTAACGCAGATGTGGGTAACATCAAGTCTGATGTGTCATGGAGCAAGTTGAAAAGAGGCGTTTGCATCCTTTGCTTGCCTTGGTTTGGCAGCTATGAGGAAGAAAATTCAAAGTCCTGAGATCTGGGTTCTTTTTTTTTTTTGTTATTTTTCGATGGGTTTCTCTAAGAATAAGAAAAATCGTTAGAAAATGTTTGCAAGGTACAGAAAAAAGGGACAGAAAGAGAGGGAGGAAGTGTCACTAGTCATTTTAGGGAGGGGGAGGGAGCAGGAGATGTTAGGAAGGACTGGATCTGGGCAATGATAAGATTCTTCCGTTTTTCTTGCCACCGTTCATGTGTGTGTAGGGGATGTGCTCCTCATAGTTCCCCCTGAGGGCCACCGAGGGCCCGCTGTCTCTGCTTAAGCTTTCCTCCCTCTGGGAATAAGACGATGGGTCCAGGGGGATACTTTCCATGTTGTCCAGGTCCAGGTCGAAGTCCTCCGTCTCGGGGATTTTGTTCTCCTCGCTGTAGAAGAAGGACACTTCCTGAAAGGTCGGGTGCAGGTCGTCCCGCAGCATCTCGATGATCTCGAGGAACGTTGGCCGCATCTTGGGGTTGTACTGCCAACACATCTGCATCAGGCTGTGCCTGGACAGGAGACGCACAAACAGATCAGTGACATGCTTTAGATCCAAAACAATTATTAACTAAAAAAAAAGAAATAATAGAAAGACCGTTTACTTTCAGCCCCATTGACTGAAATAGAAATGTATTCCTTTGGATTACATTTCTATATCAGCCAAAAGCTTCTGAAGTGACATGTAAGCAATTAAAACCAGAAATATTTTATAAGATTGTTCGTTTCCGACTAGAAAAGAAGAAATAAAAAAGTATGATTACATCCTCTCAGGGCAGTTGTCAGGTCGATCCAGGAAGCCTCCGTCCATGACGAACTTCAGAACCTGCTCATTGGATAAACCCTGGTAAGGCTGCTCTGCTAACGTGCTGATTTCCCACAGCACAACCCCGAAAGACCTGCAAACACACACGCACACACAAATAAAGGATTAAAGGTCAGAGATCTCCGGCAAATCTTCAGCGTAGGAGGAGTGACGTACCAGCAGTCAGAGTGGGCGGTGAAAACCCCGTCCTTCAGGGACTCTGGAGCCATCCACCTGACGGGAAGCAGACCCTTCCCTCCTTTGCGGTAGTAGTCAGTCTCATAAATATCCCGCGTCATTCCAAAGTCTGCGTGGCGGCAGGGAGGAGAGGGGGGGGGTTAAAGAGTCAGCATACGTGAAAAATCCACTGGGATTGATCTGGTGTGCTTTCTGTGTGAGAAACACGGAAAATCAAACAAGCACAGACCTCCGATCTTGACAGTGAAGTCCTCCGCCACCATGCAGTTTCTGGCCGCAAGGTCTCTGTGCACAAACTTCTTGGCGTTGAGGTAGGCCATGCCGTCTGCAATTTCTGCTGCCATCTGGAGCATGTCTTTCAGAGTGGGCGGCGGGCAGCCGGATGGGTTGTTCTAGAGGCAGACAAAAAAAAACAAGAAAAACAATGAAAACCTTCATGTTTTATCAGCCATTTTTCCTGCTGCTGGGTCTTATGCTTAATCAAAACAAACTTAGGGAACATTTCAACTCCCGTATTTAATATTTTACACTTAAAATGATGAGAGATGATGAATAAGAAGAACAAACAGAGGGAACAAACCTCAGAGTCTGGCCTCAGACTCCGCAGGTAGCTCTTCAGGTCGCCATGAGTCATCAGCTCCATGACTACCAGCGTGGGCTGACCTTTAGACACGACTCCCAGCAGACGAACCTAAGAACAAATCCACTTTGTCACTTATTCTTTAATTGCAAATTTAAGTTCTTTTTATGAACTTCATGCTTTTTTAGCAGAATAACAAAATATGTTTACAATTTAACAAAATATGCTCTAAACAAACAAAACACAAGACGCATAAATACACATTTATTTTATCCACAGGGCTTCCAATATAATATCCAATATAAAGGCTTTCCACAACCTGGTTCAAAGAGAAAGTTTAATAAATCATAGTAGTAATGTGGACTCTCCCCTCCTCTCAAGGAAAATGTATTCCTTTCATTCCAATGTGGTATTGTGTTCATAACAGTGTTGACACACGGCCGTTTAATTGTAGCTCCGTAGGTTTTGTAATGAAATGGTAAAGGCAGGCTCCATCGCTCGCTGAGTGTGAACATTTGTTTTGGAGTCTGACTGCGTGTCAATATGGCCGCTTCAGCACAACAAGTGGGTCATGATTCTGTGGCTCGTGCTGCTTTCAGCAACATGACAAATCTCTGTGAGTCGGCTAGCTGCACCAGCATGCTGGATGGAGATGGGTTTTTTTGTGGTTAAAAAAAGAGGCGGGTCCTCACCACATGGTGACAGATGAAGGCCTTCATGACCGAAGCTTCATTCAGGAACTCGATCCTCTCTCTCAGGCTTGCTGATTCGTTGACCGTCTTGACGGCGACGCGCGTCTCTGGTTCTCCCTTGACGATGTCCTGAGCGATGCCCTCATACACCATGCCGAAGGAGCCCTGACCCAGCTCCCGGAGGAGGTTGATCTTCTCGCGGGGAACCTCCCACTCATCAGGAACGTACACTGAACAAAACACAGAGAGCTGCATGAACCCCGCCACAGATTGAACGTTTACTTCTTCGCTAGGTTGTCATATTCTAAAAGGCAGCAGGACAATACGGGCTGGTCTTACTGTCATTGGCACTGAAGTATTCTGGATTCGGTGAGGTGATGAGATCTCCCAAAGGACCTTCGGTTTGCCTGTAACACAACCACAGGAATGCCGCTAAATAATTGAACGTAACAGAGAAAGAAACGTCTAGTGACAAATTATTCAGGTTTTATATTTAGGAGCCTAAGTTTTCCCATTATGTCAAATTACTAAGTTACCAGCTATATGTGATCAGCCAACACCAAGCTTTGTTCCTGACTATCAAGTGGAAGAAAGACATTTTTTTTTTTTTTTAAGTTAAGGTCTTTTGGAGTTATGGCTACTAGATTTAACCACAGACAGGAATATGTAGATGCCTCTTTGGGCGTGGGCTTGAACTTTGACGCCACCGCCATGTTGAATTAAAGGAGCTATAGGGATCGCTGATCAGAAAGGATGCCTCATGCATTGAAATGTACCAAACGTTTTATTACACAAACAAGATCTGCTGGCCTTACTTTTCACACGTAAGAATGAAAAAACATGTATTGTAGTATTTTCCCCATCTTTAAACAAATTGAATTTTCTAACTTTGGTGGAAATACTGGGAATTTCCCCGCATCCCAATATGAATCCGGCAGGGAAAACAGCTAACAAGAAACAAAATATTATTCTCCACACACTAGAATAAATTATTTAAATTATTTATATAGATTTCCCAAAGATAAAGCTTTAAGAAGACAAAGGTTAATCAGTTTAATCTAAGCATTCGTGGTCTTTATTTATTTTTTAATAACATGTCCATATCTGGTATAGACACAGATATGCGGTGGAGTATTATGGGAATGTATTATATTTGACCAAGTAAAGGGATAAAATTACTAATATGAGAAAAAAAAGCCAGAAGAATAGAGTAAAAACATAATGAGACAAAACTGGTAATATTGTAAGACAAAAGTATATTAAGAGGTAATTTTATGAGTAAAATATGAGAATAAAGTGGAAGCATCATACAGTCTATAGGCTATAGATTATTTTATTTTGGTTTATGAGATAAGGTCAGAGGAATAAAGCCAAAAGAATATGACATTAAAGTCAAACATTACAAAAATATTTTTTATACTACAAATATAAAGCATATTATGAGATAAGAGTCCCTCTAACACTGAATAAAGTATCTAACAGCAGATCCAGCATATCCAACACGGCGTACGCTCTAAGCCCAACCCACGGTTTGAACATGTTTCTTTTCCAAAGAGCTCATCAGGCTGGATGAGGTCTGTACTCTAGTTGGATACTTTCAACTAACAAATAAGCTTTGATCTAAAGCAATCAGAGCAAACATCCTTAATAGCTCTGGATGAACTTTTAGAGTTTTTGTGCAGTTGGACAGTGAAAATACCACAATTTCAAATCTTTTGCAGCCTCTAAGAGATGTTCTTCCATTACTGTGCTGCATTTAGTTCCACTGAGCTTTCCATCAGATCTAACCCGCTTCTTGTACCTTTTCAAAAATATATCTCCAAGGCATCATGCTGCCATCACCGTGTTTCACTGTAGGGATGTTTTTTCCACATAAACACCAACAGGGAATCACTGTCTCCCCTTGGGATGTGGAAAACAGCCCTTCTTATGGTTTTCTTTGTTATTTCTCTCTATTGAAGCATATTTCTAAAATTTTAATGAAATACACTGAAGCCTGTAGAAGTGTTAGACAAGTGAAACAATGCTAAGCAACAAATGTCTGCTGCAAAGTTTTTTGTTAAACCTTACCTTTTCCTGATGATAAAGAAGACGGCTCCTCCCACGAAGAGCAAGAGGATGGAGCAGATGACCGGTCCACTCACAATCCAAACTAAACCTGTATCAGCTAAAGACAGACAGAAACCGTTGGGTATCAAAACCTGAAATAAGCTTCTGAACGCTTTACACTAAACTAATTGAACGGCAAACACTGAACATAGGAAAGAGGAAGTGCAGGCATAGAGAGTGAAGCAGGACATCATTGTGTCTTACGGCTCGGCATGAAGAAGTACGTGGTTTCTGTGAAGGATCCATTTCCAGCCAAGGATGTAGCCCGGACAGTCACGCTGTAGTTCCCAGCCTGGACCAGCGTGAGCTTGGTGCCGCCCAACTTCTGATAGTTCAGCCGTGACACACAAGTTGAGTGCGGCTGGATAAAGACAAGAAAAGAAGACTTAGACTCAACTGCGATGTTAGATTTGAAACTAAACCTAAATGCAGGTGAGAACCTTTACTGTAAATAATGAGTCACATAAGCAGCCTTTCTGCTTAAAGTCCTCAAAACCTTCGCTATTTTAAAGTTTGAAAAAAAAAAAAGTCTTTTTGCATCTTCACACAGATGTGAAGACATAAAAACAAAACAGATTTAACGATCTGTGAAAAGGTGTGTCACTCTTTAAAACCTGGAATAAGAAACTACATTTAATAAACTAAAAAATCAGTGCATTTTCTATTTCAAAAATAGTTTCTGATAACCTTTGTTATATATGATAATTACTGTTTAGATAGAAAAAAAAACAAAGTGTTTAGCAAGAGGGTCAATAAAGTGCCTTTATATCCGAGTCTTGCTTTAGGCAGCCAGAGTAACAGCCTAATTAATTAATCAGAGCCGCCATCGTGTTCTAATCAGCGTTTCAATAAAATGTAGACCAGTATTGTTTAGGCTGAAGGCTGTATGCGTCTGACTCGACTGTTTTCAGTGCAGTGCAGAGCAGACAGGGTCTGAGATACGACATAATCTCTGCTGATGCATTTGAAACCTTCCTTCTTGCTCCTGTCACTTTGGCAACAGCTGCTGCTGGGTTTTAATAGCATATTTGCAGCAGGTAAACACCAATGCTTTAACATGCACCCTACCACAGATGTACACTTATCAATCCAAACCAGAATGAAAAAAAAATCTCTAATCTCTTTTAGTTTCTGTATAACAGGAAAGAAAACAGTGAAAGCAACCTTTTTTTTTTGTCAGGTGAAAGAGGCAAGTTATTGACCTTTTTTTTTTTTTTGGTTTTGCATGTTTACCTCTGGGTCGCCAACCTTCCGGTAGAACACCTCATAAAGGATGATTAGGCCATTAGGCGAGGGAGGCTCGTTCCATCGAACATTCACATAGGGGGGCTCAGCGTTCACAATCTCATGGGTCACCTGGCCTGGGATGTCATCTGCTTTTACTGGACAACATTAGACATAGAATGTCAATGGATCAAATTCATTTCCCAGCAGCAACATATTCTGTACTGCTAGCTTTAAGTGTCACATTGAAAGACATCTGCGGGGTCGATAACTATACGCTTTAAGATGCAAATTAGTTGAAGAGCATCCTTACACTCTGGCATGGTCCGGGCGCTGACATAAGTGGGCAAGCTGCAGCGTTTGGTGTCTGTGATATGGTTGCAAGCTATGATCTCTATCTTATAGCTGGTGAAGTGCTGCAGGTTGGATATGACTGCTGATTCCTTCCCAAACACATCGACCACCACCTGGGCAAAAAAGGAGAAAGAAGTACTGCAACTGATGCAATATAAAGTCCAAGACGTATGTTACTTTAACTCGAATAAAGATTCTTATTCACACTGCAGTCACTTTAGGTTGACTTTTTTTATAGACATAGATTTTTTTTTTTTACTTTCTGTTATTAACGTGCTTCTCCAATTATAAATTAAAACACAAACAGCATTTGAAACCTTAGATCCCTCTTCCTCTTCGTCCTCTTCCTCGGGTGAAGCAGTGGTTGGATCGTACTTCAGACGGGACATGGAGGTGTGAAAGAGAGTGGACTGGGTGGGGTCTGGGTCGTCCACTGAGCGTCGAGGACGACTTTGCCTAGAAACACGTAACGAGGAGATGCATAAAAAAATAACAATAATATATGTGGTCAAGATGTTTGAAAAGACATGTTTCATAATTGAGAGAAGCAGATGGATGGACAGAGATTTTTAACCATTTGACGTCAAAGAAGGAATCAATCTAACATCATTTAGCCAGAAATATCTCCTCCAGCCCCGGTTATCCCACCAGCAGCCATTTTCACATGGTGCAACTAAGAGAGAGGATACTGCACCCTCAGCTGTTTGAGGTAAATGGCACAATCCACACATTCAGGGAGGAAAACAGATGTTTTACCTTGTTTTTTTTTTTTTAAAGAATAATAAAACTTTAATTTGAGGGAAGTTTAAAGAAGGATAGAGAAACTAAAGATAAGAAAAAAACACTGATGTCTCTCTTCTTGGCAAACCTGCTGTCAATTGCTTTGTTTGTGATAATGATAAGTTAGACTTTATTAATCTCACAGTGGAGAAATTCACTTGTCACATCCGCTCAATAGTCAAAAGAAGGTACCAAAGGGAAAAGGTGCATGGGGTATATGCAGTGCAGCCACATCTGTACAGTGGATCGAGAGAAAAAAAGAAATAGGGCAGAGATTTAAGGTGACTTATGTACATTTAAGGTGACTTATACATGTATGGATTTGGTGTTGCACATGAATGTGGTATTGTGTAAGGAAAAAAATTGAGGTTTTGAGATAAATATAACAGCTGAAGTCTCTTATTTAACAGGATTATTGCACAGGTTATTAAATAGTAATTGCACATTAGTTATTGCACATGGCATCAGAATATAAAATACCAAATGGCCCAACTATACCAAACAAGTTAATGTTTTTTAAACATTAGGAATCTCAATTCAATTGCTTGAAGCTTGTTACATAATCATGTTACAACCATAAAGCCCCACCTGGAGTTCTTGCTTTCCGAAAACTTAATCTTAGTCTAATCTGACCAAAGTAAACTCCATCTCTTTTCATTTATTAAGAACATAAAGGCATGGCCTGTAGATTGCATTTAATGACTGTTAAGGAAACTTGATGACCAAAGGATGTTTCTCTTTACTGTATGTTTCTAATGTTGTCTGTTTTTTTTCTTTACCATCCGGCTCACAGTGCATGGTGGAAAGATAGATGTGGGTCCTCCTCCTCCAACCTGAGGGCCAGTGGCTAAAACAAATGGGCCTGAATATCACCTCTGACAAGTCATGGATTATTAATTAGAAGGTGCTAGAAACTCAGATCAACATAGAAAAGACAAGCATTTTGAAAATGCTTTTACTTTTCAAATTGATTGCAGTGTTATGTAAAAAAAAAAAAAAAAAAATCCTTTAGGAGGAAATATTTTCCCATGGAAGCAACATATATGGTTAGGTTGCTGATTTTTTCACATTTAAAACATGTAGATTAATTTGGTTTAAGGCTTTTTTACAGATTTTAACCAGAGTTGACAATAAATGTGACGGCAATTTGTTGTCTTCTTGAGGCTCAAGTTCTGCTGAGGAGTTTCTCACTCAGGTGGAAGAAAAACAGCCATATTTCTTTTGGTGGATGGGCTCTGAGAGCACGAGGACTGTTGTTAGTACAGAGAGCTCGCCCCGTCCGGAGTCAGTAGTGTGTGAGGCTGAGTGTTTTTGTGTTTTCAAATGGCAGTGTGCATGATTGCACCTCTGACTGGCATGAATGATAATGGGCACAGTAATGACTCCCTAGGGGTAGTGCGTGTATGGAGGTGTTTGTTACCTTGTGGGGACAATGTGGGGCCAGTTTCCTAGAAGTATGCTACATTGTAGGGTTCTTACGGGTTTTTGTGGGCACCAGTCAATCGGTCCTCACAAGGAAACGTTCTCCCCTTGAGGTGGGGGATGGTGTATGTCAGGTTTAGGGTTAGGTATGTGTTAGTAATGGTTAGGCCATAAAAATTTATGGAAGTCAATGCAGGATAGCGAGACATAACTTGTGCAGGTGTGTTTCAGTGAGAAGGAAGGGTCAGTTAAGCCCCTCCAACCCCAACTTTTTTTTTTTCCCTTGTTTAAAATATCCAGATTTTGCCATATTTGGTTGCTATATCCTGAATTGTCTGGAATTTATATGATTTCCAGGTCTGGAAGACAATTGAGGATGAAATAAAAAGGATATTTCCCATGACTTTCTTCTTTTCATACCATTTTTTTCTCATCTTCCCTTCTCTCTCTAATCACACTGTCCCTCTATTTCTTCATCCATGTCTTCTTCCTTTTTCTGATTCTTACTGCTCATCATGTCATGTGTTTTTCTCTCCATTTGTTTTTTGTGTCCTCACTTCCTTTCTTGTTTACACTTTCCGGATTCTGACAAGTCCAGGTATAATTTCATCCTTATTTGTTTTGTATTTTAAAATGGTGAATAAGAAAAAATTACATTGAAAAAGTCCTGAATTTAACATTTAAAACAGTGCAGCAACACTGCTTATGATATCTGAGAAAAATATAGAGAGACCAAGGGAAAGTTTGGCGCGACAATCAAAGCAGCTTTTCAGAGGCGCTGGCCTTGGGAGGCCTCACCTGCTCTCAAAGACGATGTTATGGAGGTAATCCTCAAAGGTCTTGCGGTACGCTATCTCTTTCTGATGTTGCTCGATTTCAAATTTCGTCTTCGGGCAGGTGCAACATCGCCCCCCTGGGTTCAGATCTTCTGTTTGGTTCCACTTGTGCTCGTCCTCGCTGTCCAGGTGGGTTGGGGTTCGGGACGGCAGCTTCATTCCTGGGCAGGATAGAGCAGTGTGAGGTGAAGGCAAATTTTTATAAAAGGACGGGGAAAAGATAATGGGGTGTGTTTGACTAACCCTGTAGGCAGTAATCAAACTTGTAGAGGTCGCTGTCCTCCTGCTGCTTAAGACAGACCACTCGGTAGTGGGTGATGTTTCCGTTGGGACTGGTGGGAGGCTTCCACTTCAGGATGATCTGAGACGAAGAGTTTGAGGAGGAGATGGGGTCCAGAGGTTCAGAAGGTCCTAAAAGAGATAAGAGATGGTATTTAGTCAGAACTAATAAAGAAAACAAGATGAGGTCTTTACACAGATCTAGGAAAAACAATTCATTAACAGACAGGATAATCTAACACATTTGCCTGTTTTAAATAGTGGAAGTTTGGTGTTTTACCAAAAAGGAAGAAAGAAGTCCTGCTTTGAATAGTTTTTTTTTAGGCAGTGGTGGGTAATAATATTGTTTTTTTAGAACAAAATCATCATAAGTTTTAGTACGATAGGATTTAAATTTAATAAGCAAGATCGGGCCCACGCTGTGGGACACATCTCGTTAACACCTAATCTGATCTTTCATTTATCGTTAACATTACAGCACAGGATGAAAACAATCTGCGGAGTCATACTGTTGTGCAGAATTTTACAAAGGCTTTCACTGATCAACAATGTGATTCTTTCCTTGCTTTATTTTTAGCAGACAGTTTCACAGTTTGTTAATCTTAGCATATGAGCATTATCTAATCCCTAATAGTTTAATACATCAAAAAGACAGCTGTTATGCTACAGTTTGTAAAATATATTTAAATCACAATTACTCATCAAAACTATAAAGTCCAATGGTTTGGTCTATATTAGTTAGTTTATATATATCCACAGATTTCTAATATTAAATAAAGTCAGGTTTTACTTACTTGAGGCGTTTGTGCGAACATAAATGATTTCGCTCTTGGCTCCATGAACCTGATGTTCGTCAGACGCAGACAGCTGGGTTCTCACCATGATGGCGTACTGGGTCCAGGGTTTTAATGCTCGGATGAGGTAGCCTGGATCTTCTGCCTTCTTTCCATCTGTGGCGCGAGGCGGAGGGTCGACGTCAGCTATTACCCAACTGTTTGAGCCGCACGCGTCCTGTCCATCGAACTCGGTCACATTCTTGTACGGGCTTTTTGACGTGGTTAAAAAAAAGAAAAAAAAAGAGAAAGAAACCTAAATTTACAAATATTGTTTGGATTATGTCTTAATCAGCAGGATGTCCAAACATACAGAAAGTCTTAACTTTAGCAGGATCTGTTAAAAAAAATAATAAAAATAAATGAATAGCTGCAACATGGCAGACATGGTCCTGCAAAGGTCAGTGAGGGGAGCTGCTTTTTTTGTCTCAAGCTGTTAAACTTTATTTTTGCATTTACGTTATATCCTTTAATAACATTTTTTATAATACTTCTTTTACATCAATGTAGAACCTTGTGACTTTGTTTGCCATTCGGAATCCAATAACCAGATGAGATTAGCAGCTTATAATCTGTTGAAGTTACTGGTAAAAAATGTCCTCTAGAACTATGTGAAGGTCACTGATCAACAAATTAAATTTTAGTAGATATGGTTAAATAATAAAACAACTTCCACTTACGCCTCTTTGTAGAGAACCATAAATCCCAGCAGGTCTCTGTAGTCCGACGGCCAGTACGCCTGCCACTTCAGAATGATCATGTTAGACTTAACCTTAATCTGAGTGAAGTTCAACAGCTTCATCTCACCTAAAAGACAGAAAAGTTAGGGATCAGTAAAAGGTTGAACACCTAAAACACTCAGCACAGTAAACATCTTTCTTTTCCCTAGTTAACCCTAATATGGATGTATTGAAAGTTTGATTAAAAAGGAGCTAAGGTGTTTTTTTTTTTGGTTTTTATTAAAATAATCACATATTTCAAAATCTATATATTTCTATATATGACTAACAGCAACATGCGGAAAAATAAGTTAAGAGCAAAGTTGATCTTAAACGTTATCATGAAAAAAAGACAAAACTCCCTTAGTATCTGCTGCCACTTTACAATGAGACACTATAACTGCACTAACTTGTGCAAAAAACTAATGTGCAATCACTATTTAATACCCTGTGCAATAACCTGTTTCATATTTAATGCCCAGTGCAATAACTATTTATATAAATACCCATTTTTTACGGTATATACAGTATGTCCACACACACACAAATACATATACACATATACATATATATACATATACACATACATATACACATACATATATATATATATATATATATATATATATATATATA